GCTGCATTTAAGGGAACCGCTTCATCTTTAAGTTAAATTCAATAAAATGAGAATCATGTTTATTGCCACTTTAAGTTTCTTATCATTTATAAAACACAATTATTTTCTGAAGTACATTGCGTAGAGAAGTTGCCACCATTTCCACTCAAAAGTGAATCTAATTTTGGAAAATAAAACTCTTAGAATTGACATTGCCGGTCCTAAGTGAATCACGATATCTATTTTCATTTTTTTGAGTTGAACTTGAATTGGCCGTAATCCTGCTGTGTTGTCTCTCTCTCTCTTTCTCTCTCTCCTCTCATTCTCTACCTCTGAGACAGCTCTGTAGCTCTGGCCTGCTGAGCGAGATCAGAGAACAGAAAGGGAGGGAGGAGGAGAGGAGAGAGGGGGGGTATGGGGGTGTCGTTTCAAGGGGGAGGTGCCAGGGCTTCCTGCGGGGGTTGCCTGTGTGAACGCTCCCTGAATGACAATGCTGCGCATCAGGGCCTCAGCACGACTCCCTCAGCAGCACCAGCAGCAGCAGCAGCAGCAGCAGCAGCGCACACACCCACCCACACACACACACACACACACACACACACACACACTCACAGGGAGAGAGCCTGGGAAAGCTGCATGGGCATGCAGCTGCAGCAGCAATAACAGAGGCATTCCAGTGTGCAAAAAAGGAAAAGGAAAAGGAAGGAGAGAGCAAAATGTCTCCAGCCGTCACCTTCCTCTCCGTCCTCATTATCAATAAATGATGGAGGCAGCTTGTCATCTCCGGCATCCGACTGCCGCGTGGTTTCCCATGGTCGCGCAAATCATAGGCAGGCTTGTCCACCAGCAACAGCACCACCCCCACCCCACCGTCTCTCCACCACCACCCACCTCTTCCCGACACTCACTTTCACTCTCTCTCTTCCATGCTGTCAGCGGGAACAGGCTTTTATCATGCCCGTTAGTAGCCACTAGTCTACGGGAATCAGATGACGGGCAAATCCAGTGATGCACACGCGTTATGACGTTGAAAAGGCATCTTGTAAATAATAGCATAGCTCTGAGACCACTACAGCGGGTGAGTTATACACAGTGGGTGACCTCAGGGTAACAGTAGAGCCCAGTCAGAGCTCCATATGAAATAGATCACTCATACTGCAAAAACAACTCATCTTCCATCTTTAGAAACTGCCTCATGTTAAAGTTGAGACCAACCAAAAAAAGAGCAAATAATGGATTCGACAGTGTAAATGGGATTTTTTTAAAAACACTTTATTTGTGGCTAGGATCACAACAGAACATATTTATTATATAGATAAACGAAATAACAAACAGACTCAGCTGGCTGTCTGAAAAGCCCTGCCGTAACCTGGTGAGAGATGTGAAAAGAGTTTGTGACATGCAAAATGAAGAACAAAAGTTGAGTCTAAGTGCTAGCTATTAGATAATTTTGTGTGACAAATGCATGGAACTGTCGAGTTCAATTCATGCTACTATCACGCAATCCTTTCTGCGAGGTGGAAAGCAATCCACACATTATACTGTATGTACTGCATGATGAAAAATCTGAACTTACCTGTGCTAATTTTCCAATTTTTAAACATACTTTGGAAACACTGGGAGAGACAATAGTACCCACAATATTGCTGTTACATTACACGCCACCAGGTTATTCCCTTTCATGAAGTTTTGTGAGACTTTGTTGACTTCTACAGTCTACCATAGTTTGTCTTAAGTGCCGTCCCAAAACCCACCATATGGCCCACTTTGAGTATTCCACTAACTAATTTAGAATCAGACCTCCAAATGATGGGTGGTTACCTGCCAAAGTAGTTGGTAGAGGAGACAAACAGTGAGCAGAACTCGCAGTATTTAACAGATGGTACAGTAACTAACCCACCCTGATGCACAGAGAAGGTAATCTCTTCCAAAGGCATGCAGGTGGTGTACAGAGCTTTATACTCTTGTTTCAGCACTTTGGACAGCGCCAAAAGGCCTTGGAAACATGTCAATAGCTGTTTCAGGACCAAGGACAGCGTCAAAGTGCTAAAGAGACCAACGTTTGTGTTTTTAATTTCCTTTAACTCCATTATACATAAAAATATCTCAAACAATCAGTTTGATTTTCTGGCCATTGTGTTTTTATAGGTTTCTCTACCCACAGCCCCTTTCCCATCTCCACCACCAACCTTACTTTTCCTGTTCTGGAGAGGTGACAGCTTGGTCGGTTTAGCCCAAGCAAACAGCTTGCTGAATTGCATCAAAGACGACTCAGATGCCAGAGCCAGAATGACAGACGGCTTGGAGGAGAAGGCAGGAATGAAGAGAGATAAAACCTCTTTCAAATTGTCCTCAAAATAACAGTACGTCCTCAAAAACAAAAACAAACACAGCACTCCAAACTCTCCCAACTCTCCTCCTGGCTGCACAGATGAAATGTTGGTCCAACTTAGTTTATTGGCAACATCTTTTTTCATACATTTGAGAAAAATCTACAAAAAAGATATTGGATTATAACTCTCCCGGAAGTCCACAATTAGCTCAGAATCACATGGTCAAGCTTAACACAAGGCTGATTTTCATATGCTTTCCCAAGGAATCCCATTTGAGCAGCATTTTATTGTTAGATTTGGCTTGGTACTGGGTTACATAACTGTCTATACTGTCAGATGGGGGATGACAATAGGGACAGTGGAACTATTGATCATAAATAATCATCCCTACACACTCTCCAACAGATACTGAAATAAACCCAGCCCTCATTTTGCTGGGAGGAGCCCCTGAAGTCTCCTGGAGGCCAAAAGGGACCCCTACCACCCCACCCCTTCCCCTCATGGCAAAGCCTTCTGCTTAGCCTGGTGGGTTTGAGTAAACAGTGAACGGGGCAAATTGGACTGTGCTGATGGTGCTTTTGACTCTTGGCCACCATGAGAGAAAGCCATGAGCGGCATCTCCTCAAGGGGCCTCACTTCACTGTACCCTCCAGCTCCAGTATATTTAAACCTGCTGATTAATGAGTGAAGAAATCATTAGATGCAGATCCCCAAACTATCAGCTCATAGGTAGCACTGTGTTTTGCCTGATGTTCATTGTTTATAACAACTGTAACATTACATTTGGAGTCACTCGGGCTATAGGTGAGGCGAGCTGCCGTACCTTGCCATACCCAACTGACGCCCATACAGCTCCGTCGTGCGCTATGGGGAGTGGGTTGGAGTGGGGGAGGCTCCGGGGAGGCGCCGTGCGTCGTGCGCTGCTAGGCTTGGCCACGGATCTGCGCGCGGCGCTCGGTGACTGATCAGATGCTCAGTGCGCGGCTCAACCCCGACGGCTGACTGAACGCAGGAGAGCCGGAGAAGCGCTCCGCTCGTCGGGTTTCTTCGTTTCCAAGGCTGCTCTCCACGGGAATATACAGCCTCCGGACCGACTGCGTGTTGGCTCACGTCCCCCTGGGGGGTCGAGGGAGGAAAAGAAAAAATAAAACAGAGAGGGAGGTATAGGGAGAGAGAGCTAGAGCTAGAGAGAGAGAGAAGAGACGCTGGACTTGCTGTAGCTCTGCGGGGCTGGCTGCCTCTCTCTGGTTAGGGGAGCCTCGGGGGCGATGCTGCTGGGCGGGGATGGTGCACGGTTTCTGCCCGGTGGCGGAGGAGAAGATGCGAGCCGCTGCTACAACACACCCGCACCGCCGCCGTCGTATTTTCCGAACAAGAATTGATGATGGTGATGATGCTGCCTCCCCCAGTGGTCTTTTTCTGCTCCTCCGGATCCTACTCGTCCGGGATTCTTCTTCTCCCAACCTTGGATTATAGATGATTGTTGTGGACATTATTATTCTTTTAACTTCATCAACTTATTTATTTCGGGGGGAAGTGGGGGAAGATTTAAATTGCTAGATTGAGGACCGGTGTATTTTTGTCTCCAAGTGCGCGCAATCACGCCCAAAATCAGTGACCGACGCCTTGGTGAGGAGGAGGGGGAGGAGGAGGAGGAGGAGGAGGAGGGGGGATGCCGCACCGTCCATCACCAAATATCAACAAATGTCACCAGGCTCGGATTTTGGGGAAGCCCCCCTCGGCTGGCGTTTGCGTGTAACCCGAGTGGCGTGGTGGCAGTGAGAGGTGGCAGCAGGGATATCTGCCGTGCCACATCAAACATTGCGGATATATGGCACAGGAATAAATGAATTATTAAAGATTTTACTCTTATCTATTTCTATTTTTATCTCGCAGGGGGAAAAAAGGGGGACTTGGGGAGGGGAAAAAAGACAACTGCAGATCCTGTCAAGATGCACTAGGCTGTTGAGAGGGGGGAAAAAGACGCAGTCTCCAGCAAGGGTTGCCTACTTAGTGGAGATGATTGCAATATTTATCTAAACGCACAGCTATGCATCCTTATCGCATGTATTAAAGGTGATCGATTTGTTTGCCTATTAAAATGCAAGAACCGGCTCACTCTCTGAGAGGTTTTTCCCGACCAAAAAAACAAAAACAGGATGCCTTGCTTTTCGACGGAGAGAAAACGCTGATGCTCTGACAAGATATAACATTCCTGACAGTTTTCTCACCCGCCAATAAAAGCAGTCGTGTTTTTTTTTTCCCGTCTGCCAGAGAACTGATTTGCCAGAAATTACATAAATACATCGCTCTGTTTCCCATTCATATTCCAAACACAGATCAGAGACACCGTGCGCTTTCCCTCTCCCCTCCTCTCCCTCCCCTCTCTTCTCCTCCTCCTTCCCTCCCTCCCTCTCCACACACAAATGGAGGTATCTTCTCGGCGCTGAAGATCTGGGAAGGAGAAACAGATAGATAGCAGGAGAGAGAGAGAGAGCGAGCGAGAGAGAGAGAGAGAGCGAGAGAGAGAGAGAGACAGACAGAGAGATAAGCCAGAGAAGGAACCGAACCCAACTCCATTCTGCATGTGTGTTTGGAGCCGAGGCTGATGGGGTGGTGGCATGTGGAGGTGTCACTCTGAGGTTCCCCCCCGGCTCCTTCCTAACCTCTGGCGTTTGGTGTCTGCAGAATGGCGCGTTTTGGAGACGAGCTACCCAACAGGTATGGAGGAGGAGGAGGAGGTGGTGGTGGCGGTGGTGGCGGGGGTGCCGGCGGACAAGGGGGGCCCGGCCGCGGCGGCAGCAGGCAAGGGGGGCCCCCCGGAGGGCAGCGGATGTACAAGCAGTCGATGGCCCAGAGAGCCCGGACCATGGCCCTGTACAACCCCATACCCGTCCGGCAGAGCTGCCTAACGGTCAACCGCTCCCTCTTCCTCTTCAGCGAAGACAACCTGGTGAGGAAGTACGCCAAAAAGATCACCGAATGGCCATATCCTTTCATAAGCAAGGCCGAGCCGCCTGCCAAGGTACTGGGGTGGTGGAGTGTTTGCTGGAGTGCTTGGCGAGGTGTGGCCTGGCGGTGTGGAGTGGTTGGTGTTCAAACACCTGCAGGATGAAAGTTGTGGTTGTGATTTGCAGTGTGGGATGGTGTGTTTGTTTTATTGTATGGCACTGTGATATCTTTTCTTTTCTTGTTTGCAGTTTTGTGTTTTGCAATGTTGTGAGATAATACATAATGTGTTTTTGCATAGGGTGTGTGTGTGTGTGTGTGTGTGTGTGTGTGTGTGTGTGCGTGTGCGTGCGTGTGTGATGTGTTGTATGACTTTTTGCAGTGTGCTGTTGATTGATACATGACAGAATACATGATTTCACTTCACTCTCACTGCTGTGTCCAACCCCACTGGCCTCAGGCTCATCTGATAAAGCTGCCATTGATGGAATGAAAGATGATGTTGATGATGATGCCGGTTGTCATGACACCAGCAATCACAATCATGTTGATGCTACTGGTGATTAAGATGCATCTTGAATACAGCATTTAGCTTGAACCTGTTAGTGACCTGAGTGTGTGTGTGTGTGTTTTGTGTGTGTGTGTGTGTGTGTGTGTGTGTGTGTGTGTGTGTGTGTTGGGGCTATAGTTGTAGTCAGAGCTGAGTGCTGATGTCAGCATTATGAAGGCTTAAGCACCATGCAACCAGAAGGGAGAGGAAATGACTCTCTCCCGCTCTAATTACTACTGACCATATATGGGCGGCCTGTGGCTCATCCTGCAGGAAAGCGTGGAAAAAGCTGTAATTGTCAGGACAGGTCAGTCTACTGCTGTTAGAACCTGGACTACTCTTATCTCAACTGGCCTCGAGTCAGTTTCGCCTCGATTAGAAGGGGGAAAAAAACTGCTTAATCCAATGTTCCCTGTGTTTTTAGGCTAATTTTGTTGCTTGGCGGGATGGTTTTAAGTACTTTTTGGGCACTTTTGCTTTATTAGATGGTCAATTGAACTGATAGATTATAGTCAAGACAATATCTTGTATGGACAATATGGATAACTGGCCATATGTGGATAATCTGACAATAATAAAGGCATTTTCAGCAGCTGCAATAGAGTTTGATAGCAAATTTCACATGGCCAGATTAACTTGCTAGAGGGCCCCAGATCAGATGTAAGCCGGGGCACCTATTGCCCCCCTTCCCAACACACTCTATTCCTGTACCTTGTCAAGTACAGCACATACAGCAGAATACACATATTATTATTTTCATTATTGATTATTATTTTCTCATGTAGTTGATTAATTGTTTGGTCTAATCTCTAATGTCAGCAACATGTGAAAAACGCCAATAACCCGGTTCGACGCTTGACGTTTTCAAATATCTTGTTTACTCTGACCAACAGTCCACATAGATATTCAGTTTCTTATCACAGAAGATTTGTAGATAAGAAAAACGTCTTGGTGATCAGTTAATTGATGATCACCAATCGATCACTATTCAATGCAACTCTGCAACTGAAGGAATCAGATTGTGCACAGTGGATGCAGATAGGAAACATGTTGGAAGAGAAGTAGGGGGTGACATGCACCTTCGCGTTTGAATCAGGGATGTTGTTACGTGATATGTTGACCGTTAGTCCACGGGGATGTTCTTAAGATTTAATGTGTAATCTCTGGAAAGCACCAGATCCTGTGTGTCAGTCAGTTTGGTAACCGACATGATGCACAATGACTGAATTAATATAAAGGACTTAAAATGACATTGTGATGCACCCCCCCTCTACAAGATGCCGCTTCAAAATGATAGACAGTAATAATGAAAGACCTGTCTTAAAGTGTTTATGGTTTCAGTTGGATTTGTGCTTTAATGGTGTATATTCCTGAACACGTGCAATGAATCGAATTGCCAAGCCAACTGGGGCTAATAGAGCCCCAAGAGGTCTGAAGCACAGGGACAGTTGCTCACTTTGTTGGCACCTATCATATTCTGCCATTTTGCACCAATATCTATTAATTGCAATGGGACAAATATTTAAAGAGGCAGAGTGAGAATTTTCTTCAGTAGTAACTTCATGAATCCAGAATTGTACACACATAGGTGACTATGATGACTGATTTCATTATAACTTTCTCTACCAGCATTGCAAAATAACAAATACAAATAAAAGATAAATAAAAAACTTTATCACATGGTTGCTTCCATTGAGGTTGGGATCTCACAGAATAATGATACGTTTATGGTAGTCTTTACTTAAACCACCAGCTAGTCTTTGTTAGTGGCGTCAATGCAGAGACACATTCAATGATGTGGCTGGTTTGTGCATGCTGAGAGAGTAAGAGAGGGTGGGGTGCCTCCCTGTGGGTCTTTTAAGGTGATGTTACAGTACGACGAACCTCATGAGAATTCCTCATTCGAGACGGTGATCAGTCTGCCACTTTAACTGTAAATTAGTTTCACAATTAAGAGAATTAAAGACAGATGCAGTGCAGGTAAGAACATGAAAAACTGTTAAAAACCTAAAAATATAAAAGAAGTGGAAAGAAAGAAAAGATTGGTCACATGAAAAATGTGGTTTAAGCCATTTCCTAACGCTGTGATTGAACTGATGGTCGTTCATTGTCATATTTACTGAGAACAGCATCGCCTGATACTGCTTATCAGTTGAGCCATGTAACGCATTAAATGATGTGTGTGAGTCAGGTTGGTCATATGATATGTGTGTGTATCTGCGTGAGAAAGAGTGCATTTGTGGTAATGGTGGTGTGTGTTTATATTTTATGAAACATTTGGTTAAGTAAATTCTGCCACAGTAATGGCAACAAAACCTTTATTTATTTAAATTACAAATGAAAAAAACGGAACAAAAGAGTATGCATCACTGTATAATCAGACTCTTTCGCTTTTTTGTGTTTTATTCTATTTACTGGAGTTGTTTCCTTTCCTGTTAGCGTGTGTAATATCATGTAGTCTGAGGTTTGTACAGTACAGGTATTGTCTACAGGGTTTAGCCCTACAGAACAAGTTTCATGACTAAAACAATACAGTAATGTTTTCCAAAGAAGCAATTAATGTGGAAAACAGATCCCACGTTTCTTGGAGGATAAAAAAAAGAGTCAAACATTTAAGTTAACAAAGACAGAGAATGGAGGCATTTTGTTCTAAAATGTGATTTAAGATATCCAAATGTCACCTGATAGTCTTTCAGCAATTGAAACACTTTTTGAGACCAGAGCTTGTTTGAAAAAGAGGCTTTATTGGGCGAGGGAAACTGCTGTGTCTTGGCAGAGAGCCTCCGTAGAGGTTCTTTATCTTTATGCCAGAATGTTTTGGCTTTTCTGCAGAAATAAAAACATTTTCACGAATTCCTTCAGCTTACAAAAATAGCCAAGTTTTGTTCTGTCTTTAAGGATTTTTTTCCCCCAATATGCACATGTTAGTTGGAAGGTGAAAATGCTTTTGTTTCTACCTCAGAATCACGACTCAGGGTTTTGAAATGTAAGCTGCTGGTGCGTGTTAGTTATGGTAGTAATGGTGTTTTTCTCATTTTGGAGTTGACCGATTTAAAGGATGGTCTGTTATTGGAACATAAAGTACAATTCAGTGCAATGCACACACATACCAAATGTTAATGAAATCAGATGAAAATAAACCAATTAACAATCATATCACAAAAAACATTTACCCCTACAATGTTAATGTTACTGGTCCACTTATCAAGGCTGGTGACAGAACAAGGATAAGCCCACTTCAGAATTACAAAAGTAATCGAACAGGCAAAACATTATAGAGAAAATTAGGACTAAACTAGGACATAATGAAAATCATAGTCTTTGTGCAGTCACACCCATGGCTAGTTTTCTTTAGCCTGAATCAAATGTAAAAAGAAACTTTAATATGTTTTATTATGCTATTATGTTTTTTCAACCCAGGAATGTTCTTACATGTCATTAAGGAGGAGGTTATGGTGGAGGTTTGGTGCTACAAAGCACAGGACTTTGATGCTAGAGACCTGGCTTTGACTCTTGCATAACACATATATTTGGTTGTAGGCTATTAAAGCTTACTTAGTTAAGGTTTGGGAAAGAAGATGGATTTGGTTAAAAGTTGAAAACAATCAACCCATCCCTCCGGCTTTCAGTCAGCTTGGACTTTTACAATATGTAAGCAACCTGACCTCAGTCAAGGCTGTGGAGTTGACACTGATTGTTTTGCAGATATGTTCACTTTAAAAGCTTCCTCGTTATGTTGCAAGAAATGTGATCGGGGTGGCATTTTGCTCTTGTGAATAAGAGAGAAAATTTTAGGAGCATAACTGCTGGACCTAGACAATAGATATCCAACGTTTATTTCAGCAGGAGTCATTTTCTTTAGTGTTAACTTCTAACTTGCTTCTAACTAACTACATTACATTATTATCTCTTTTAAATAACTGACAATCTAATTGACAGAACTCTCAAGGCTGTTATCTGACGCCATCTACGTTGGCATTATCTTCACCTGCTCAAACAAAACAAGTGGTAAACACACAGGCATCCAGCGGAATCTGAAATGTCTTTTACTCGATACACGTTCTTACTGCAAAACATTTCAAATTTAAAGAACATCCACTTCCTGATTTGAAAGTGAACTGAGCATATCCCAGCATGCTGCCATCTGTACAGAGCCAGGCTGTGTTGGCTGGCAGGCGCTATGGCTTCTTCCACCAGAGACCCAGAGGACTTCATTATACCTCCCTCCCCTCCCTCTGCCTGCACTTCCCCATTCCCTCTTTCACTCTCTCCACACTCCTTTCATCTCCACTTCTCCGCTGCACTTCTTCCCCTGCAACTCTGCTTTAAATGTTCTGTCCTCCATCTTCTCTCTCTCTTTCTTTCTTCTTCCCCTGTTTTTGTCTTTACTCCTCTGTCACTTTCAGTTTAATTCAGTTAAATACTGTGTATTGTACATACAGTAGTGTGCAAAAAAAATAAAAATAATAATAATTAAAGGAAAAACTAG